TATTACAATGAAAAAAGTGACTTATGACTCTTTTTCACGCAATTGTAGTAGCATCCCCGTGGTCATGTGTTCAAACTTGCGGGCGCTCGGCAATTGGCATGTATTTATGACGGTTGCAGAATTCCGCGGTCACGTGACCACTTTTTGCAACCTTCTGACAAGCAAAATCAATGGGGAAGCCAATCAATAGATCAGAATAGAATTGGAAGGGACCTTGGAGGTCTTCTAGTCGAACCCTTTTGAAGCAGGAGAAAACTGTACCATTTCAGACAGGTGACTGTCCAGTCTTTTCTTAAAAACTTCCAGTGATGAAGCACCCTCATCTTGATCGATTTTTTATTCTACACCAATGTTTCTCAATCCATCAGTCAGAATGGAGCTGGAAGGGACCTTGGAGGTCTTCTAGTCCAACCCCCTACTCAGGCAGGAGACCCTATACCATTTCAGTCTTTTATTTAAAAACCCTCCAGCGCTGGAGCATCTACAACTTTTGAAGGCAACTTCTCTTCCACTGGTTCATGGCCAGATTCACTTAACAAGCGTGTTACCAACTTCACAACTGTGGCAAGTAAGGTCATAAAATGGGGCAAAATCACTTTAAAACGATCTCGCTTAGCCACGGGTAATGTTGGGCTCAACTGCGATCGCAAGCCTTGTATTTTTGTTTTTAAATCCATTTCTCGCACTTCCGATTTCTTTCTCCCGGTTGGCCCGTCGAGATCCCTCGGACACGAAACAGCAGCCGAGAAAAAATATTCCAGGCGGATCCGCCTTGTCTCTGAACAGAGGCCGAACAATAAATCGTTCAAGCAATTTATTCCAAAAAGACGGAACAATTTCTTCCAGAAGTTCGGCCAACTTTGGACTTTGCGTCCCCGTGGAGTTAATCGAACAGATTATTCCTCCGGTAGGAACCTTGAGATTTCACAATCCTTATCTGCTCCCTCACTTGGACATCTCAGAGTATAATAATATTCAATTACACTGATAAAAAAAAAAACCAAGCCCAGATCTATCTCCCTCGGCTCTCCAAGGTCAGGCGTACGTTCATGGCAGGTGAACTTTGAGCGTAGCTGCTCTTAAATCCCATTTAAGTCTTATTTTTCCTTCCTTGGATTTTAGCCAGATCAGATTGCTAGTCCAAAAGGCAAAAGTCTCTGAGATTTTCCCAGCTCCGGGAAGGAAATAAAGAACATTTTTAAGATGCTCGGGAGACGAGTTTGACTCTCAATACAGGTGGTCCTTTCGTTGCGACCACGATGGGGATCCAGTGTTGCTAAACAAGGCAGTTGTTAAGCAAGCCTTGCCCCATTTTATAGCCGTTTTGCCGCCGTTGTTAAGCGAATCGCTGCAGTTGTTAAATGAAACGTGCCATCGTTAAACGAATTGGGCTTCCCCGTTGACGTTGCTTGGGAAGGTCGCAAAAGGGGATCATGTGACCCCAGGATAGGTCACAAATGTGTGCCAGTTGCCAAGTGCCCGAATTTTGATCACGTGACCATGGGGATGTTGTGACGGATGTGTGGAAAATGGTTGTGTCGCTTTTTTTCAGCGCCCTCATAATTTTGAACGGTCACTAAACGAACAGCCGTTAAGTCAGGCAGCATCCTGACTCTGGAAGTTTCCATGGATTTATCCATGGGGTGTTCTTACCCACTGCATGGAAACAGTATTTAATATTTATTTGTTATGTATATGTAGGGGTGTGGGTCTATACATATGTTGTACATAGTATATTTTAGGTGTGTGTCATGTATGTGTTTCACTTTGAGAGCGGGCAACTAAATTTCATTTTTGATGTGTGCCGTGGTGCCCACAGTAAAAAAAAATGACAATAAAGGTTATCTTATCGTTGCAATGATTTTCTTCCTAAATAGCCAATCTACCCGGCACTCGTAGGATTTCCGAGTGGTCTCCCATCCAAGTAGCGGGGGCGGGCCCAGCTTTTTCATCTGTGCATTCGTTGGGCTGGAGTGATCCCTGTTCTAAAGAATACGGAAATTTATTTTCCAGACCTTGATCAATTGTTGCGTTGCCGCTTTCCACTTGTGGATTTTTCACAAAACATTTGTCTGGCCTTGTGATTTAAATCTTGTGATTTAAATCTTCCTGTTGTGTGGTGGCGGGCCAAATATATTGCTTTCAAGAAATAAACCACAATCAAAAGACTTCACTCCCAGCCCAGACGTGATCTGCCAGCAAACGTTTTGACTATAAGCAGCTTTTAAAATGTGCCCATTTCACTCCTCGAAACCAACACGATGGCTTACAGTGATGCTTTGGGGGGGTTTTTTGGTTAGAAAAGGATGTTTTATTATTTTAAAAAATCCATACATAGCAGAACGTCGCTCCCTGCTTCTTCCCAGTAAGCTGGAAACGTCCCAAAGTTTCACTTGGGAGAGACCGAAAGAAGGAAAAAAGAAAATTTAAAAATACAGGGAGTCCTCAACTTACGACCACAATCGAGCGCAGAAATATCGGTTGTTAAGTGAGACATTTGTAAAGTGAGTTCTGCCGCATTTTATGACCTTTCTTGCCACCGTTGTTAAGTGAATCACTGCAGTTGTTAAACGGGTAACACAGTCGGTAAGTGAATCCGGCTTCCCCAATGACATTTGCTTGTCAGGTCGCGAAAGGGGATCACGTGACCCCAGGGACAGTGCAATGGTCGTTAAGTACATGCTTTGGGGATGCTGCGACGGTCGTTAAGTGTGAAAAATGGTGATAAGTCCGTTGTATATAATGCCGTTGTAACGTCGGTCATTGAACGTGATCGTTTAGCGGCCTTTCAAAGATCCAATGGCACTGAAAAAGGTGACTTGCGACCGTGTTTCGCACTTACGACCGTCGCAGAATCCCGAGGGTCACGGGATCAAAATTCAGACAATTGGCAACTGACTCCTATTTATGACGGTCAGTGTCCCAGGGTCACGTGACCCCCTTTTGCAACCTTCAGGAAACCAAAGTCGTAACATGGGGCGAAACTCACTTAACAAATGCCTCACTTAGCAACAGAAATGTTGGGCTCAATTTTTGCCGTTAAGTCGAGGACAGCCTGTAACCCCATCATAGAATTTAGATTTTAGATTTAGATTTAGATTTTTATTAAATTTATACCCCGCCCTTCTCCCGGAGGACTCAGGGCGGCTTACAGCCAGTTTAAAACAATGATACAATACAAAATTTAAAAAGATTAAAAATAACTATTTAAATTTGGCCGCTTCTACTATTTAGTTTAGCAGCTACAATGAGGACCCAAAACTTGGTTGGTAAGTGAAGTGGGCTTACAACTGGGCTTACGATCTTAATTTAGCTTTCCTTTGCTTTATTTCATACAGATGGTTGTAAAGTTATATTTTTCATTCTGGTCGCAATCGCAAACGGTTGCTAAACAGGGCAGTCGTTAAGCGAGGACCACGTTGAATATTCCTGTTGTGTCCTAGAATCGGTGGGCAACAGACAGCCTGCCCAGTCCCACAGCTGGGAGGGGAGCTTTGGCGACCGCAGGCCCGTGAAGTGTGGCTGTGATGTTCTTTTAACAATTTGTGGGTTCTTGTGCACTGCAGTTGTACAACTGTGAGGGAGCAATGCAAGGGTGTGTGTGTGAACATGTACCTACAAAGGGCTTTTAAAAAAATATTTAAAAAATTAAAAGGATAAAAACATATTTATGACGGTTGCAGGGTCACGTGGCCTCATTTTTCTTGGAATTTTTCCACTTTTTCACTCGCGGATTTCCAGACTCTTGGAATAAACGAGAGAATTTCTATATTTCTGATGTGGTTATTTGGGAATATTTGCTATTTTGTTCCCCAAGGATAGTTTGATCCTGAGATGTTGCTGAAGTGGAGGAAACCACATGCAGGGCCATTTGTAAAAGTACTCTGTTTTTTTATTGACAGGATCTAAAGGGTGACTGTGGGTCTCCTTTTGCAACAAAAACATCACAAAGCTGCACTTTTCACACACTTTTGTCTTTCCTGCAACACTGGCCAAATCCCCACAGAGGCCCAGAACAACATCCTCCAATCCCAGCATCGCTGTCAACTCAGCCGTCCTCCAGGCACACAACTCCCAGAATTCCTAGCTACTCGCTAGGAATTCTGGGATCCTGGCTAGGGATTCCGGGAGTTGTGGTCTTCGCCTAGAAGAGGCTTAAAAGATTTATTTTATTTTTTTTGCCCCACACAACTCTCACACCCAAACAGGAAAATGTAATGCGTGTTGTTGACAGTGGCGTGTTGGGCCCACACATCATTTTGTGCCTGGCCTCACCAACGAGGCAGCCATTTTGAGAAAGTCTCTCCCGCCCTCCCTTCCTGGTAATTTCCAGGATCCAATATGGCCTCCAGGTTTCTCAGGAAATTGAGGGTCCCTGCTGCGCGTCCTTTTTCCTTGCCAAACTCTCTCCATTTGCAAATTTGGGACCTAAAAATTGGGCAACAGGATTCCCAAATTTTCTAAATCTGCCTCTTTCGCCCTCTGGCCCAAATTTTGGCTCTGGGGAAGAGACCGGAAGCCTTGTTTTCGGCTTCCATTTGTTTCTCTCCTTCCGTTGGAAGCAAGAATGATCAACCAAGGACATTTCTCAACACGCCCAAGAGGACCAGCCTTATTTGCACCGTAAACGTCACTAGACTGAGGAATAAGGCTGCAGGGAACCCTGGGGGCTGTAGTTCCTTGGGTGGGAAGATGGACACCCACCCACCCACTCTGGCCGAGCAGCACCCATGCCAAACTACAATTCCCAGGAGCCTTTGAGAGGAAGCGTCTGCCTGCTTGCCATCATCCCCAAAGCTATTTGTGCACGTAGACCTGCCTAAGATGGCCGAGACTCTTTGGCGCCATCTGGTGGTGGATAAAAGGGACTACCCGGGAGGGAGCTGGGCTCAGCGTCCCCCTCTGCTGGATGAAAGAGGGGAAAGCAGCTTCTCGGCAAGTTCATTTCCCGCGCAGCTCCCCAAAAGTTCGATGGAGACGGAAGGAAGTCCAGGGCGGGCTCATAAAAAAAACTGCACCATGGAGGGCGCCTGAGCTAGGGGGGCCTTGGGGGCCCCCTCCCCACAATGCCCCCCGGCCGCCTCGCTCAGCAGCTTCTGACACCGGGCTTTGTAGATGTCTCGTTCGTGGACCAAGCGGCCCACCTCCACCCGCAGGGACTCCAACTGCTGGGCCAGCTGGGACTTCTCGGCCTCCAGGATGTGGCGCTGCTGGACCCGTTTGAAGCGGCAGGACTGGGCGTAGCCGCGGTTCTTGAGGGTGCGCCGTTTCTGCTTCAGCCGCTGCACCTCGTCCTTGCCGAAGCCGCGGAGCTGCCGGTTGAGGTCCCGCACGGACATGGAGACCAGCTGGGCGTCGGAGAAGCGGTCGGAAAGCCGGGATAGCTGGAAGTGAGGAAGCTGTAAAAGGCAGGCAGAGGAAAACAAAAGCCACATCGGGTGAGCAAAAAGGATGCTAAAGTTGCAGCATTCTCACACTAGGCCAGGGGTCTTCAAACTTGGTCCTGTTAGGACTTGTGGACTTCAACTCCCAGAATTCCTCAGCCAGCGTGCCTGGCTGAGGAATTCTGGGAGTTGAAGTCCACAAGCAGGGGTCTTCAAACTTGGTTGTGTTAGGACTTGTGGACTTCAACTCCCAGAATTCCTCAGCCAGCATGCCTGGCTGAGGAATTCTGGGAGTTGAAGTCCACAAGCAGGGGTCTTCAAACGTGGCCCTTTTAGGACTTGTGGACTTCAACTCCCAGAATTCCTCAGCCAGGCACGTCATAAGTACATGCCAGTTGCCAAGCGTCTGAATTTTGATCACGTGACCTCGGAGAGGCTACAACAGTTGTGTGAAACTGAACCCAATGATTCATTTTCTAAAATGTGCAATCCTGACTATTTCGTTTGTGTCCTATAAAGCCAGAAAAACTGGATTAGCAGAACCTCCATCGGGCTGGCCATAAGCCAGCATGGACCTAACATGTGACATTCTTTTTTTTTAATGTTGGCTGTCTGGTCCGTTACCTTCTTAATCCGGAGAAATTAAGAATATTTTTTACTCCCCTTGAAACATCTCATCCCCTCTCGGGAGAGGTGCATTCAGAATCCAGGTCTGATAGTGCTCATTTCTTTTACTACAGGTTTATGAGTAGTCAGGTAAGAGCACTCTGCACACGCTCAAAAGCTAGGCCTTCAAAGGAGTGCCTTCCACTGGGGGGACCCCTTCATTTAGGCAGCTTTTTCAGGTCTGAAACTGTTCTAACCCTGGATGCGCAAGGACCGTGGCTTCTCGCAAGACGGCTCTCTGCGCATGCTCAGAGACACTTAATTCGATCCTATTTGCCAAGACTAATTAAACCAGTCTCCCATTCATCCTTCTATTTCCCTGCACCTCCTCTTCTCCACTTCCAACAGTTCGTTTAATGAGCAAAGTTCCAACAACCCTGAAAACAGTGGCCATTTTTTTCACACTTAACGACCGTCGCAGCATCCCCAGGCACAGCTGATCGGAATTCAAACGCTTGGCAACCGACTCACATTTATGATGGTCGCAGGGTGCCGGGATCACGGCAGTGATTCCCTAAACCCACCGCGGCGAGAAAGCAGCAGACATTCTGGGCTCCGCCGTCATCGTAAGTCGAGGACCGCCTCAAATAAATATTTGATGTCTTTCTTTTTTTTTTTTTTGGTTTCGTTTTGCAGACTTACCAGTTGCTGCTGTTCCTCGGCCCCAAAGCTCTCGGCGGATCCCAGAAACCCCTGCAGCTGGGGGCTCACGCTGTTTCGAAGACCCCCTTCTGCTGCCGGTACCCCCAAAAAGGCTTCGACGGCTTCATCCAGCCCTGGCACCATCTGCGTCTCCGGACCGGCGCCCGCCGCGGCCGCCGCCAAAGACTGGTGCAACGTCGCCATCCAGTAGAGCTCCTCCAGGGAGGATTTGGGGTCTGCCCCCTTGTCGAAGGTGGGCGAGGGGGGCACGGAGCTACACGGGGTGGAACTGACGGAAGAGCTGCTGCCCAGCCGGGGCAGTTCCTGTTTCACTTCGAACTTCAGGAGGTCAAACTCATCCAGATAATCCAGAGCGATCGGACTGGCGGGTAAGGTGTTCATTCTGCAAGAAGGAAGGAAGATAAGGTTGGTGTTTGTGTGTGTGTGTCAGTGCGTTTGTGTACGTGTGTCTCACCCGGGCTGGAAGAGATCTGGATTAATGGATTAACCCTGGGGGGGGGGATAGAAAAATAACCAACCCAATATTCTTTGCGCCAGCTACCCTGTTTGCTCAGGATGCTGGACATCCTGTGAGCTTTTGCACCTCATCCAGCCCCGCGGAAAACCTCTAATGCTTCCACCTCTCTATTTATTATTTCGTAGGTTAGGATATGCTTGCCAGGAAATAAATAGGCGAAAAAAATATATATCTTTTGCGCCAGCTACCCTGTTTGCTCAGGATGCTGGACATCCCGTGGGGTAGGTTTTGCCCCTCATCCAAACTTCTTTTTTTATAAAGGTTTTTATTGAGTTTTTATAAGGTTGGGGAAGGGATAGGACCAGGATAGGGATTAAGGTTTGGGGTGGGGTTAGGATCGGGATTGGGATAGGATTGGAAACAATATTGGGGTTGCCCCCCAGTAACATTTTCAAGCTTTAGCAAACAGACTATTGTCCGGACACATATGTTCAGTTAACACTAATTCATATAATAGTAAATAGCTGTAGTGAATATGATAAATGATAATCATAAACAGTATCAGTTGGTCAACACATATCATTCTTCTTACTAATATATACTGCTCAAAAAAATAAAGGGAACATTTTAACACGGAACTGAAGGAGTTTGCGTTCCCTTTAATTTTTTGAGCAGTATATATTCAAAATAACATATCACATTCATTTCTCACTAGTTCGTTTTCCTAACCCTTGGTAAAAATTTATCCCATGTTTTAAAATAAACTCGAGTCTTCTTTCTCTTTCATCTCTAAAGTTAGTCTATCCATTTCTGCACATTCTAAGATTTTCTTAATTAAGATCTCTTCAGTTGGTAAGTTTTCATTTTGCCAGTATTGGGCAAATACTGTTCTCGCTGCTGCGGCGAACGTCTAACGCTACCACCTTTTTATTATTTCGTAGAAGGTTACATAATATGCTTGGCAGGAAATAAATAGGCGAAAAAAATACGTATCTTTTGCACCAGCTACCCTGTTTGCTCAGGAGGCTGAACATCCCATGGGGTAGCTTTTGCCCCTCATCCAGCCCCGCGGCAAACCTCTAATGCTACCACCTCTCTCTTATTTTGTAGAAGGTTATGAAGGAAATAAATAAGCAAATATATATATATATATATAATCTTCTGCACTAACTACAGGTGGTCCTTTCCTTACAACAGTTCCATTTAGTGACCATGTCAAAGTCACAACGGCACTGGAAAGAAAAAGGGACTCACGACCGTTTAACACTTACGACCTTTGATCACGTGATCAAAATTCAATAGACTATATTGGTGAATAAAGAAAGAATTTAAATTTCGGAATAATATTTGTATTTGAGTCACGAGAATGAGTTTATAATGCAATGAGCGAAACTAAATCTATCCGAATTATAAATATTGGTTATAAAAGGCTATAAATTGGAATATGATAATTGGAATTAAATAAAACCTAAAAACAGGACTTGGGTATGTATAACTAAAATGTTATTGATAAAGGTACAGATTGTTTGAACTTTAGCTAGAAAGTACGAACATGAATGCGATATAATACCTAAGGGAAATAGAGAGGAGCCTTTATTGATGTAAACTGAGATATCTATGTATTATTCTGTTATTGGATTATTGATTACCCGGTCACCACACTGCTTCCTAACTACTTGGTTGTTAAAATTGGAAAATTAGTAAAATTTGTTTTAAAAAAAAATAATTCAGATGCTTGGCAACTGATTCGTATTTATGACGGTTGTCGTGTCCCAAGGTCATGTGGACCCCTTTGGTAGCCTTCTGACAAGCAGAGTCAACGGGAGAAGCCACTTAACGACCGGAGTTGCTAACTTATCAATTGCACCGATTCGCTTAACGACCGCGCCGAGAAAGGTCGTAAAACGGGACACTTAACAAACGTCTTGCTTAGCCAGACCAATTGTGGGCTCCCTCGCCGTCGTAAGTCGAGGACTGTCTGTCACCCTGTTTTTCTCAGGACACTGAACATCCGTGAGGTAGCTTTCGCACCTCATCCAGTCCCACAGCAAACCTCTATTGCTGGCACCGTTCCCTTCATTTGGCGGATGATGATCAAGTTGCCAAGAAATAAATAGGCAAAAAAATTAAATATTCTTTGGCCCCAATTCCCGTTTGCTCAGAACGCCGAACATCCCGTGGGGTAGGTTTTGCACCCAGACCCAGGGCAAATTTCTAGCGCTACCCTCTCTCCCTTTATTATTTCGTCGGTTACGATATTCCCGGGGTGGAGACACCAGGAAATAAATAATTAAGAAAAGAAAAAAAGAGGGGGGGGGGGCAGCCACGGATTATCCAGGGAAGATTTCATTTCATTTCAAAAATCGCGGATTAAATTTGTATGCCGCCCAGCTGGCTACCCAAAGGGACACGGTGATGTGCCGACAACCTGGATTTAAACCACGGTTTGAGTCCTACCTATCCTTGCCAGTCCTTGACCAGGATAGATTGCAAAGACGATTCCGATCCCTTGCCCCGGCGTGCAAACCTCTTGCACGCTATTCACACCTAGTGGCTTGGATTAAAGTCCGCTCCTCCCTCTGCCGAGCTTCTGTAGCCCGGCACTGTCTATCCCGAGCCCAGGTGGGCAAGTTTTCTGGAAAACTGTAAGGTGATTTTAAGCACGGAAACCCGGAATCGTTGGAGATTTGGCTCAGGAAAAACAGGCAGAATTTCTCCACCCTAGCCGAGCTGGATGGAAAATACGGAGCGGAGATTGTTTCTCTTTACTATTTTTTTTCCTGGCTAGGCTACTGCTACTTATAGACCGACCCTTGGGGCCTAACTGGCATCCTTGGATTAAATGGGAAGGGTCTGATAAAGGGAAGACTCCCCCCTGCAGGATCTAATACTCTGAAGCAAAAAGTTTTTCAACTTTGACAAGTTGAAGTCCTCCCCTCTTCAACTTGTCAAAGTTGAAAAACTTTGCTTAAAGATCCCATCAGAGGATGAATTTTGTCAAGATCGGCTGAACAGCCCTTTCTTTACCCCGCCAGCCTAAATCCACATCCTTGACCCCCGCAATCCACAGGTGCTGGCTTTCCCCCCTCTGGATGCCGCGCAGCGGCTGCGCGCATCCTCTCTTGCGATCCCGAGGGTGCGGCCAGGATCGCGCAGAGAAAAGAAGAAATGAAAGCGGACGGGGCAGAAAAAAAAAAACACCCTCCCGGGAGAGAGGAGAAAGCCTGCAAAACGCAAGGCGATCCTTTGCAAAAAAAAAACAAACCCAGAGATCCGGGCAAAACGCAAGGCGATCCTTTGCAAAAAAAACCAGACCCGGGGAAAACGCAAGGCGATCCTTTGCAAAAAAAAAAAAAGCCCAGACCCGGGGAAAACTAAAGGCGATCCTTTGCAAAAAAAAACTCCAGATCCGGGGGAAACGCAAGGCGATCCTTTGCAAAAAACCCAGATCTGGAGGAAAACGCAAGGCGATCCTTTGCAAACCCCCAGATCTTTTTTTTGGGGGGGGGGAGAAAGAGCCCACCTGCTTGTTTGGTCGTCCATGGGTCTTGTTTCTTGCCAGCGTCCGGTCCGGACCGCCTTGCCCACTCCTGCCTCCCGTTGCAGCTGCTTTAGGGGTGAGGATCCCAAAGAACACAGCGCAGCCCCCGAGGTTCCCTTTAAATCCCGGGAGAATGACCTCATCCGCATATATTAGCGGCCAGCCAATGGGGAGGGTGGGATTTAGGCGGGGGCGTGGCCGAAATTTACCCCCCCTCTCCCTCCTCCCTCCTCCCTTTTCACCAACTTGGAGGAAGTTTGTTCCCTACTCCCAGTTCCTCTTTTGGGGGAGTCACATGTTCACCCCAGATTTGCACTCTCTCTCAGCCTCCACCCTCCCAGGCACAGGACTACAAAGCCCAGCGCTCCCGGCTGAGCCGCTTTGCACACACACAAACACACACACACACACAAACACACACACACCCCGGAGCTCTCAGTTCTGGCTTGGATGGCACCCCAGGCACGGTGCCAAGGGCAAGGTCTGGAAGCGATGAGGTCATGTCGGTGCCCGGGGTGTTCCTGAGCATGCACAAAGCTGGGTGCGTTGGCCAGCAAAGCTCACACACACACACACACACACACACAGACCCCGCAGCCTCGGCCTGCCTGTAGTCCTCAACTTATAACAGTCCCTTTAGCGACCCTTTCAAAGTTTCCACGGCGCTGGAAAAAAATGGGACTTACGGCCGTTTTTCACACTTGCGACCGTTGCGGCATTCCCCACGATCCAGGTAACCGATTCCCATTTAAGACGGTCGCAAAATGGGACAAAACTCCCTTAACCAATGGATCACTTAGGCAGTGAAAATTTTGGTCACGAGTTGAGGACGACCTGTATATTTTTTTTTAAAAAAAAGTTTTTGGGGGAAGCAAACAGGAATGGAAGGAAAAACGAGCCGAAGGCTCAGAAGCTAGATCTCTTCGAGTGCGAGGACAAGGCACTCTAAATACGCTCAGAGGTTATCAGTCTGTCGAGCAACACCTGGAAAAGATTCCTCTGTAAGGAAAAGGCGCTCCGTGTATGCCCAGAATTAACTTTCTGCAGGAGTGGAAGGCAAAACAAACAAACAAACAAAAACCACCCCCCCGCTTTGGACAGGCAAAGAAGCTAGACCTCTTGAGCACCGGCATGAGCAGCGCCTGCAAAAAAAAAGAAAAAAAGAAAAAAGAAAAGAAAGAGAAAGAAGGAAGGAAGGAAGGAAGGAAGGAAGGAAGGAAGGAAGGAAGGAAGGAAGGAAGGAAGGAAAGAAAGAAAGAAAAAAAGAAAGAAAGAAAGCAAGGAAAGAAAAAAAGGAAGGAAGGAAGGAAGGAAGGTAGGAAGGAAAGAAAGAAAGAAAGAAAGAAAGAAAGAAAGAAAGAAAGAAAAGGCACTCTAGACGTGCTCAGAGATCGTTTGCAGCCCTCTGAAAGGATTCTTTGGTGGGGGGAAAGGCACTCTGTGCGTGCCCAGGAGGACAGGAACCAAGCCCACGTCGCTGAGAGAGATGCAATTCGGGGCAGGGTGGCGAAGATGGGACTCGGAGTCCCGTTCGCAGCATGCGTGAAATGTGGAGACGGGTTCAAATCCTGGTGCGCACGGAGAAATTGGCTGGACTCACACCCGCGGCCCGTATACCTGCAAACGGCAGCCGTGCAGAGGCGTTAAAAAAACCAGCACCCCGATGGAAATGGGGCAGAAGCGACGTCCCTGGTTTGGACCCCAGGCTGGCGGAGGGTTGCCATGGCGCCCGGCCCGGCCCGCCCCTTCTGCTAATACCGAGCCCCGCATGGCGACAAAGGGCCCGCTCAGCGTTGCTAACCTATCCTGACAAGGGATTCTCGGCCTATTCAGTTGGACATCAGCCTGTCATCCGCCCTCACCCCACCGTCCGTGACCTCCCCACCTGACCCAGCCCTGTTGTTAAGCCCCCTGAACGAAAGAAAAGCAGGAAAAATCCACCCTCCGCAAAAAAAAAAAGGATCCCCTTCCCCCCCCAGTCCCCGGCCCTGCCCCATTTCCAGCTCTATCTTTTGCCCCCCCCTCTCCAAACTGCAATTCAGCTGCTTGCCTGCCAGTTTCCTCTTGAGGACTAGCTGCTTGGCAGGGAGAGCCGAGTTCCCGGGAGGCTAGGCCGAAACCAGGCCGGTGTTGAGTTGCTGTGGGACGGAGACAGAACTCATGTGAGGTCTCGAAAAGGCTTTGCGGCAGGGAAACAAAATGTGATTTATGACCAGTTTCGCGCTTAAGGACCGTTTCAGCGTCTCCTGTAGTCGCCGGGTCAAAATGTGAACGCTTGGCAACGGACTCACATTTACGGCGGTCGCAGCGTCCACCGGGGTCGCGTGTGATCCCCGTTTGCGACCTCCTGGCGAGCCAAGTCAATGGGAAAACCAGATTTCCCCAAACAACCTGCTTACGACGGCAACAAGTGCAGTGATCCACTTAAGAACCGTTGCAAGAAATCGGGGCCAAACCCACTTAACAACTGTCTCACTTAGTAAGAAAAAAAATTGGGCTCAATGTTGGCCGTGAGGCAAGGACTGAGGTAACAAGAGAGAAAATGCCCCCAGCGCAAAGCTTAACCTGTTGAATTTCAGCCTCTACAGCTGAGGTTCATAAAGCCCAAAATTGCAGTGTGGGTTTTTTTTTTATTTTTATTATTTTATTTTTTTTCAGGGGAGGCAGATTGAACCTAATTTCCCAGGCTTTGGCTACGACCTGCCTCATAAATTCAGGAGCCAAGCTGCAATGGGTACAAGATGCCAGGCTGAAGTACAACAGGGCGAGTGGATCGTTCAACGGGTCGAGCCAACAGCCCAGAAGCTGAGCGTTGCGGAGGGAGGTCTGTTTCCGAGGCTGATATAATAATAATAATAATAATAATAATAATAATAATAATAATAATAATAATAATAATAATAATAATAATAATAATAATAATAATAATAATAATAATAATAAAAAGTTGGAAGGGACCTTGGAGGTCATTCTATCTATCTATCTATCTATCTATCTATCTATCTATCTATCTATCTATCTATCTATCTATCTATCTCAGAATAGAGCTGGAAGGGACCTTGGAGGTCATCTAGTCCAACCCCCTATCTATCTATCTATCTATCTATCTATCTATCTATCTATCTATCTATCTATCTATCTATCTATCTATCTATCTCAGAATAGAGCTGGAAGGGACCTTGAAGGTCATCTAGTCCAACCCCCTGCTCAAGTAAGAGATCCTATACCATTTCAGACAAATGGCTGTCCAGTCTCTTCTTCAAAACTTCCAGTGTTGGAGCCTTCACCGGCTTCTGGAGGCAGGTAGTTCCACTGGTTAATTGTTCTCACCGTCAGGAAGTTTCTCCTTAGTTCCAGGTTGTTTCTCTCTTTGATTATTTCCCATCCGTTGCTTCTTTTCCTGCCTTCAGGTGCTTTGGAGAATAGGGGGACCCCCTCTTCTTTGTGGCAGCCCCCCCAAATATTGGAAGACTGCTATCATGTCCCCCCTAAGTCCTTCTCTTCATTAAACCAGACATTCCCCAATTCCAGCAACCGTTCCTGTTTCCCAAACAGATAGAAACGTCTTGAAATGAGAATTTTAGCAGGGATTTCCCTACATTAAGCTCCCAATTGGCCTGCAAAGTTTAAAAAAGACCGATTAACCTGCTCAAACACACAGCCTTCAGCCAGCTGTCTTTAAATAAAGCCCAGCTCTGTTAATCACTTTAAGGTATATTCTCAGATTAATTGGCCCAGCTTTCTTCCACGCTGACCGGCCCCCCCTTTGCCCCCCCCAACGCCTTCCAACTTCAATGACCCATATTTCACTCTATTTAATCCTGATCTGGGCCCAAGACGGCATTTAATGGATTCCCGGCTCAGCCCAGCCGGGGAGTGTTTCTAAACCTTGATCCCGGCAAATAAACAGACAGATTAGGAAGGTGGGAAGGCTTTTAATGGGATCGGGGAGTGGGGGCAGACGGATTTCTCCCTCTGGATCCCTGGCTGGCTGGCGCGAGGTGGGTTAAACTTTTTAATCCCGGTTGTCCACCCGTTCTGTCTAACTCTGGTGTCGGAGACGAGATTGGATAGGAGAGAATATTTGGCAGCTCCAGGGTTGAACTGTGGCGCTCTCTGAGCTGGGTGGTTTCCTTGCAGACGTTTTATGACCCAGCTAGGGAACGTCATCAGCGCTGGAAGGGAGTGGGGTTTGCGGAGAGGAGGAGAAAGAGGAGAAGAAGGGCTGGGGGGTCCTTGGGGGTCTCTGAGCTTGGTAGTTTCCTTGCAGATGTTTCATGACCCAACTAGGGAACGTCATCAGTGCTAGAAGGGAGTGGGGTTTATGGAAAGGAGGAGGAGGAGGAGGAGGAGGAGGAGGAGGAAGAAGACTGAAGATGCTCTCTGAGCTTGACGGTTTTCTTGCAGACGTTTCATGACCCAACTAGGTAACACTATCATTGCTAGAAGGGAGCAGGGTTTATGGAGAAGAGGAGGAGGAGGAGGAGGAGGAGGAGGAGGAGGAGGAGGAGAACTGAAGGGTCCTTGGTGTTCTCTGTGCTTGACGGTTTTCTTGCAGACGTTTCATGACCCAACTAGGTAACATCATCAATGCACCGAGGATGTTCCCTAGTTGGGTCATGAAACGTCTGCAAAGAAGCCACCCATCTCGGAGAGCACCCAGGACTCCCGTAGACAAGGTCCCTCCAACTTGGAGGGGCTAGGAACTTTAACCATGGTTAGCAGGCTTGTGTGACCCCCTAAAAGCAATGATTGAAGGGAGGACCATCGCAAGAACGGACTATCGCGTTTCATAACCGGATTGTCACCCTTTTGCCCTCCCACGTTCTTCACTGTGGCTGCGAAGGCAGAACCGGAAACCAACCCAGATTCGGACAAGGCTTCCATTTGGGCCTCCGTGAGCTTGATCAGGTTTGAAAAAGTGGGGGTATCTCAATGGCTCCTCCACTCCAAGTTTGAGAATCTCTGATGCAAAGGGGTTAAACAGCTATGGCTGCAAAAG